CCATTTAAGCCGTCTCCAGCCATTATCTAACTAATATGCAAACTTCTCAACAGATGGCGCGACATTTTAATAACAATTAAAACTTCTTTACAAGCTAGTCTTAAATTTTTATTTGGAATGATTTTTGTTACGCCTACTTATGTCATTAAAAAACAGAAAAACATCAGAAGTTAATCGCTTTTCTCTTATATGTATTTCTCCATAATAAGGGTAAATTCCTTAATATATAATAGTGATAAACAAGATAATCCAAAGTTTGAATTTTCACCTCCTCATTAAAACTAATCAAAGCAAGAAAAGTTTTAGCTTAATCAACATTTTAATTCGCAAAATTTGACTATTATTACAGTAAATGCTAAGAAAAAGATTCCATGAAAGGAATATTGGAAATAGAAAGATAATTTAATCTTGTAACTGAATTCACCGATAATGCAATGAGGGTCATAGTTAGCATTATGAGCAGAAATGAAAAGCCTTGTTCTGATTTAATTTTAAATTGAATTCAATACATGCTTATTTTTCTGATAAAGACAGAATGTTTATACGGATTAGGAACATAAATATAGTTTTAAAATAACCATGGAAGGTAGTATTAAATTTACAGATAATGCTTTATTGACGTCGTTTTTAAGTAATGATACACTATCATCTATTGTCTACATTAAACGCTCTCCTTCAGAGTTAATTTTAATCTTGTAACACTTGTATACTGCTCCATGTAAACTATTTTATATCACATGGTATTACGTAATACCATGTGATATAAAGTAATACCATATGATATAAACTAATAACATGTGACATGAAATAACAACATATAACATAAACTAATATCATGTGACGTAAAGTAATACCATATGATACACATTTATATCATATGGTATTACTTTATATCACATGGTATTACTTTTTATTCTGATGTTAAACACTTTTTGTAAATACTGCCTGTTTATAACTTTCGCTGAAATGTTGTTTCCTGTAAAAATAAAACTGTCTGATGCTAGTATGTTTGTTTATTACATGGTGACCTTATTTTTTCTTAGCTGAACAGCAGACGCTCGATAGTTCTTCTTGACACTAGCATGAAAGAATTAAGATCGTTTGGTTTCATTGGGAATGTGCTCACTGTAGTTTTTATGTATGATCTCATTTTCCTAATAGAGGACGCCTGTTGTGAAGGGGATTAAATAAAAATAACAAAACATTTCTCCACTAAACTTTAACTGACAAATGGTTATTACATTTGAGTAATACTGACGAATAATTTAACCTGAAATTAATATTACTTAAAATATTTATACGATATTTGGTATTCTCAACTTAAAAGGTGACACATGAGCTAAATGTATAGCCGTCCCTAATTTTGGACTGCTGGTTATAGAGAGAGCAACCAGTCATAAGCACCTGCCGCCTACGTGGCCACTCTTAACTGAAAAGCAGGATTGACTGTCACGTTTATAACATGCCCAGAAATGAAAGAACGGAGCTTCGAACTTTAAACCTCCCTATCCGCAGTACGGCAAGCTACCCACTAGGCCACGCCCATCCTTAAAAATATTTAATGTTTACACGAAAAAAAAAATCTATGTTATGTTTTTGCGAGTCTGATATGCAGTACATGCACCGTATGTAATAGATTAACGTAGTGTATTTTTAAATAAAACTACATTCACTCATTTGGATAATGATTAGATAAATTTGAAATGCTCTACTAATGTACGTCATCAACTGATTTAGATCAAACCTCTTGACCAAAGCAATCATAATGTCTTCAGACTCATAACAGCAGAAGAGTTGAAACCATTATTCAACAGCCCACTCCGCGTTGCGCGTGGGAAGACGTGTATGGAAAGAATCAAATTGATGATTGGATAACTATTTCAACTAAGTTTATATGTGGTGATGCGCATGCTCCAGCTCATCCTTTCAACGGCCTGTAGCTCTCACTCTTTCACTTTAGCCTCTTGTGTCTACTCTTATCCCTGCGAGTTATCAGAGTTTTTGATTCAATCTTAACATACATCAAAAGTTTCACAAACTTTTTCCGAATTTATTTCGAAATAATATAGTTTGTATTGTTTTGGCGTAATATTTTGAAGAATCAAATTTCAGTTATGAAGCAGATGTTGGCGAGAACCGCCTTGCTATTGGCGGCTCTGACTGCTGTTGTTTTTGGTGCGGAAAAAGAGTGTGGCCCCTGTATCCCAGAGGCTTGCTCGCCACCCACTAAATGTCTGGCTGGAATGGTAAAGGACCGCTGTGGATGTTGCTTCGTCTGCGGTCAGTTGGAAGGACAACTATGCGACTATGAAGCAGCTTCTCTCCCACAGAAGTACAAACATGGTCACTGTGGGGATAACATGGAATGCCGACTGAGGAACGACCTCCCTCCTGGTGATCCTCCTGAGGCTCTTTGCTTCTGTCTTGAAGAAGAACCGCTTTGTGGCAATGACGGACAGACATACGGAACAAGCTGTCAGTTGAACCAAGCCAGGAATAAACGTCGGGATGATGGACTTCATGCGGTCAGCAGAGGACCCTGTGAATCTGGTGAGTACACTTATATGTCATGATAAAACCCTTTTATTAATTTTTCGGGAGTAAAAATTCCCGAGAGAATCCTGCGTAGAAACGCATGCAATTAGTGTATTATGAGAGAAGAACCAGTAAACTAGAGTACAGATATCTTTGCATGATTAGATATCGTGAGAGAGGGACAAATAATTCAGAGTACAGATACGTATGTATCATTAGATGTAATTTCAGAGAAACCAGTAAACCAGAGTACAGATATGTATGCATGATTAAGTATGGTGACAGAGGAACCAGTAAACCAGAGAGTACAGACATGTATGTATAATTAGATATGATGACAAACGAACCAATAAACCAAAGTGTACAGATATGTCTATATGACTAGATATGATGACAGAGGAACAAATAAACCGCAATGTACAGATATGTACGTATGATTAGGTATGATGCCAGAGGAACCAGTCAATCAAAGTGTACAGTTATGTTTATATGATTACATATGACGACAAACGAACCAATAAACCACAATGTACAGATATGTACGCATGATTAGGTATGATGCCAGAGGAACCAGTCAATCAAAGTGTACAGTTATGTTTATATGATTAGATATGATGACAGAGGATCCAGTGAACCTGGATTTACAGATATTTATGTATAATTGGGTATGATGACAAAGAAACCAATAAACCACAGTATACATATATGTATGTATGATTAGATATGATGACAAAGGAGCGTTTACAGACATGCTTGAATGATTACATATCATGAAAAAGGAACCAGTAAGTCAGAGAGTACAGATATATATTTATAAACTGATATTATGAGACGACTCTGCAAAACAATAGAATACAGAATGATATGTCTGAATGGATGATTGTTGTAGGAATGTTAAGTGAGTATACTATTACATATTTAGATATAAAAGTCAAATAGTGTAATTATTTCGTGTACTGACAGGTATGACTCGATGTATTGAGGATCGCTTCATGTATGTAACGTATGTTTAGAGTGAGAAGACCGTGTAAGTCTTGTGAAAATAGATATGTATGATTCGATGTCATAAAAAATATCTCGTAAAGAGAGAAGGACCGTCGGATCCATTTGCTGGGGATGAGATTCAATGTCCTGGTGATGAGTACGTGTACAAATAATAGGCCAATTTAACAAAGACAAAAACGTCCGATCACAACATTGTGCGCTATGAAAGAGGTTATGGTAAAACTCGAACTTCCGAGGACGAATTCCCCCTAGCACCCCCGCATGGTAAAAGCTTTTAAGTTTGGTTAATGCGGATGAATATGTATGTTTAAATGTCATGAAAAATCTTGAAAAATTTGCTGAGAGCAGATGTGTACGCTCTGATGTCATTAGTGCTAGCCTTTAAGTCTGTTGAGTGTCGATAAGTTTTAATTTTATGAAAAACCTTGTAAATATACAGACTTTATGTACATATACACTTAAATGGTGTGAATGATATCTTATAAATCCGTTGAGTGTAAATATGTAAGGTTAGAAGTTATGAAAGATATGCTGTAAATCTGTTAGGAGTATGTGTATTAGATAACTTATCATTAAAAGTCGGCTTTGTGTCTGAAAGCTTGTAACATTTTTGTGTATCTCATTTTTTGTCTTTAATATACAATTCATACAGTCTTTATCTTTTTCATCTGAAGCATTCTATTTGATTGTTATATGAATTTTGCACGTGTTAGGATGTATGTGCACTATCAATTTCAGTTGGTTTCTATATATTTTGATCAAAAGAACACCGCCCTCTTAATTTTACTTTCTAAGTTCGTTAAAGCAACATGATTCAACTGATCTGAAAAGCACGTGATTCAAATATCCAGTAAGTCACATGATTCAGATAAACTAGTAAATTACGTGACTCAAATATCCAGTAAGTCACATGATTCAGATAAACTAGTAAATTACGTGACTCAAATATCCAGTAAGTCACATGATTCAGATAAACTAGTAAATTACGTGACTCAAATATCCAGTAAGTCACATGATTCAGATAAACTAGTAAATTACGTGACTCAAATTATTTATAATTAAATGATTATAATGAACTAAAACAGTGATTTTCAAACGTGTGTGTGTGTGTGTGTTAAACTATCCTGGGAGTCTTGAGAAGCTTTAGAAAAAAAAAGTAATCGTAAAGTTTTTTACTGCAATGAATAACGCGACTATACTAAAAGCAATAAAGTCAGAGCTCGCATAACAGACTATATTTTTGTTATTAAAAGGAGTATGGGGGGGGGGAGAATGGGTCCGCGTTCTAAAAAGTTCGAGAACTGCTGGACCTGAGAGTTACATGATTCAAATAAGAGAATATATAATTATATAGCTAGAGATTAGCTAGAGTGTTGTATGTGAAAAACACCATGTTCTTTGTTTTCATGTTTCAAATGGTATACAGTTTCTGAAAGATACCTTCTTTTCATGTTTACTAAAATGAAAAAAATTTTCTCAGTCTCACGTTTTAAAGTGTAGCATGGATTGAGTTGACTTTATTATTGTGCTGGTCACACATTGTGAAGAGTAACACTCCTTTGGTATTTCTGAAGCTTCCCATGAAGGGTGTCACTGGATAATTCCTTAGATTTGTATTAATGTGTTCTCAAGTCGCACATATGTGTAAAGGTTTTAGAAATACCCGAAAATCCTTATTTTATATTTTTGTTAATGAAATGACAAGGTATGTGAGCGACAAATGCTCGGTTGAATATTTGATCCAATTTGAACAATTATGTGCTGGTTGGTTTGTCCAGTTTTATGATTTTCATTCAGATTATATTATACTTCTACTACAGATCTTCCAAGCTAGAGACAAAGAAGCAAAGCTGTCTTTTGTCTTAATGCAAACGTCTGATTCAGTTAAACTCTTTGTCTTGTAAGTGTTACAAAAAATAAAGTGTCTTTGCTTGATTGTGAAACAATGTCCAGTCTCTTTTCTCAATCTGTCAGATCAGAATTCATTTTAACTCCGGTTGACCCTATTGTGAGAGTAGTAACTATTCTCACCTGTAAGAACTCAGTGCACCTGAGATTATCACAGATGTTAAATGAATTAAGGTAATTAGATTCAAAGTATGCTAGAGGTATAAAATTCATATCAGTGATAGCTGCATAATTTGACTTTACTTCAAAATTATACGAATTAAGTTATCCATAAAGTCATACTACTCAAGTTAAAACATTACTCGATTTTAACTGATTAAATGAAAAGACACAAACCTCTAGTGAGCTGTAGGTTCATGTGATTCACGTTACCTAGAGAGGCATATGTTTCATATCAATTAGAAAGTAGTATGGAGTAAGCTAGTTTTGATTATATGTTCAAATACACTAGACGGTCACATGTGTATAAATATCTATAGGATTACATGAACCGAGTTAACTATATAATAACACGTGTCTCAGAACTGAACTTGAATCACCACATGATTAAAAGTAACTAGAGAGTTACATGAATCGAGTTAACTATATAATAACAATATTTATATTTACTAGTTAAATGTTTCAAATTAAATGACAAGACTCAAGAAATTCAACTAATTAAAGTAATTAGAAAATTATTACATAAAGTTAAGTAGAGCATTAACAATAAACATCATTAAAGTAATTATGAGACATATAAGTTAACCAGTAAGTCAAATGATGTAAGTTTAAGTTGTGTGACTGAAATTAACTAAAATGTCACAAACTCCAAGTTGAATAGAAATTTTTCTTTTATAAAATAACTAAAGTGTCACACGATTCAAAGTTTCCTGAGTTAACTTAACAATAGTCTCATGTTCAACTGAAATAAATTGAGATCACACGTAAATGTGACTTCAGAAAAGCGCGTCATAACTGATATAGAGAACACATGAAAGCGTGTCTTCAGTAAGGCACGTCATAACTGATATTGAGATCACACTGTAATGTGTCTTCAGTAAGGCGTGTCACAACTGATATCGAGATTATTATTGTGCGTGCCATGTTAGGATTTCCTTTATAAAACAAGATTTTTATTTGGATATGCGTGGGTTTTATCACACGATCAGACAAGTAGAAAGCCACATAAAGAAATTTAAATATGTAGTCTGAAGTCACATTATTCAAGTTACGTTGTGAGGCACTTGAAGCAATTTAACATTGGCTATTTAAGTTGATAGTTACATGATACAACTTAGCTACGAGTCAAATTATTCAAGTTAACTAGCGACCTGCGTGATTCAGCCTGGTTTGTATTGAACCTCGTGATCTTCAAACTAACTCAAACTCAGCTCAAATGTTAGACCTTCCAATAAGCAATTGAGCATGCGATCATACCTGGCTCAACCATTTTATACTCATGGGTTTGGTTTGAATTTCATGCAAAGTTATACGAGGACTATCTACGCTAGCCGTCTTTACTTTAGCAGTGATAGACTAAAGGGAAGGCAGCTAATCAACACTACTCACCGCCAACTCTTGGGCTACTCTTTTATCAACGAATAGTGGGATTGACCATCACCTTATAAAGCCCCTACGGCCGAAAGTTGTATCGGGTAGGGTAAGTTTGTTTGTTTTGAATTCGTGCAAAGCTATACGAGGGCTATCTGCGCTAGTCGTCCCTAATTTAGCAGTGATAGACTAAAGGGAAGACAACTAGTCATCACCACCCACCACCAACTGTTGGACTACTCTGTTAACAACGAATATTGGGATTGACCATCACCTTATAAAGCTCCTACGGCCGAAAGGTGACGGGGATTCAAACCCGCGACTCACAGATT